CTTAAGTGATATTTACGAGAGTTTAGTGGTCGTGTGAACTCATGTCTTACTCAAAATTCGTTGAAATGAAATCAATTTTAAAAACAGGATGCTTTAGGTAATCACCTCTGTTCGCTTACATTAAAATGCTGCTATACCTGGTAAGATAGAGTCATTTTGGTATATAAAGGACCACCCATCTCGTATCCAAACATCTCTTGTCCATCCAACTCGTATCCATCCGTCAATCTATCCATCCATTTATCCGTCTTGGAAACAATATTTCATTTTTCCATCTAAAATTTAATTTAGCACTTTTAGTTATGCTCTCTTTTTGCAGAAATCTTCCGTATTTAATGATTACAGTAACAATATGAACTCATCGGCCACACCTCAAAAAACAATCCCTTTCTTCTTTTACCAACCATTATTGTGATTGCTCACATAAAAACACTTTTACTGAGTAAAAGTATTATTCCTTTCCTCAAAATTTCTCCGAAAAAGACTATATTTTGATGTAATTATTGAAATGAGTAGAATATTTCGTGCCTTTATCATGCGGCATATTTTGCTTGAAGTTTGTAATGCTTCAATCTGTCAATTGATATTCATCAAGGTGATTAATCTCTCTAGCACAGAGAACATGGTTCAAACCTGATTCTTTCGTTGTTTTGTTCAAAAATCAGGTCACATTTTTGCCTTTTAATACATAATCTGCAATGGTCACATGCAACAGTTCGAATGCACGTTGAACTGTTGAGGATTTAGAGCAACACTTCTCATTCATACAAAATAACCACACCTTGTTGACCTTTAATGATTCCAAGCAATTTTTAGAGATAAAATTAAGCAGTTGCTAGTCGTCTGTTCAAAACTGGTGTGCATAAGATAAAGTGGTTGTCCAAATTCATTTCTGTCCCTCTTCATAGACAAGATAGGTTAAGAGGGAATTTTTAAATTTTCCCATCCATCCACTGCTGCCATTCTATCTGTGACAATTACAACAAAAACCTCTACAATTCTCGATGCCTCCAGTGTCGTGAGCTCAACCCATAAGCATGTCTGTATTCAAATTGACTGATGTTGGTGCCTTGGTCTTTCACCACTTGGTCTGGAGATGCTACCCTTAGTAGCACCATCTTTGCTTATATCACTCCTATGTTACCAGCTTCCTAGATCTGTTGTGAGTTTATTGCAGTCTTTTCAAGGTATCAGTTAAACGTTTGGGGCAATAAATATATGCTCTGTAACAAATGGAAACCAAGTCCGATTTATACGATGAAGTATCATAACGATTGTTTAGAAAAAAAGGCACAGTCGTGCTCCTGACTAAATCACTCTTATCCACGTAGTGAAAAGTTAGGAAATTTTTGCACAATTACTTATCAAGAATATATGTGACACCCAGATTTTCTTAACTGACCTCCCACATCGCAAATACGTTGCACGTTTGGTAAGGCAATGAATTAGGATTAGGGATCCTATAAGAAAAAGAAAACATTTAGACTGTGGTAAATGATGTGCCTTTGTAATAGAGGACGTGTTAAACTGTGTTAGTATTCTTTTTAGTCATTGCAAAACAAGGAAGCAAAGTCAGCGCCTAATGCTGTGGTTACCACAACACTATCGTGGGAAAACAGTGAGGCTAGTGAACCATAAAACTGGCGGAATGAGGCGGGTGGGGGAGGATCGGTGTAAGCGTTCCCCACCCTCTCTGCAATTAACGGTTCATTTGCGATTTGTTTACAGCCTCGCCTTCACTTCAGTGAATTTTAGAATTTACAATCGTGGTTATGCTTCCCATTTACTTTGACTACTTTCAGTTGAAAAAAAATTGCGATGAGTTTCCCCAATTTCTCCTCCGTGTATGCAGCGTGAACTGTAATCACGTCGGCTGACTACTTGGCTAGATGGCTGGCTGGATCAGCCAATCGATCGGTCGATCGATCGATGAATTACCTTGCAGTGTTCCACCAGCTCCGCGGGCATGTCACAGCATGAGTTCAGGTCATCACTGATTCCATGGTGAGTGGGACGAGGGAGAGGAAAGGAGGCAGATTAGCCATGTTTTGAATCCCGTGCCATGGGTGATCCCACCATCTGCACCATCCATAATAATGACTTAACCACATCGCGTTGGTAACCAGTTTAAGCAAGCTAATGAGAGATGACTATTTGTTCAGTTGTGGCTTCACTCCACTTCTAAGAAGAACTTATGGGCAAGTGGTCAAAGCTTGAGGTTTTCAGTAGTCTGGATGATTAGATGAATGGTAAATTAGCCATACATTTATTTGTTATCCATATAACCAGCAGTCAATTTCAGGCTAACATTGGTGACCCCTTATGTATTTCTCTCAATGTGGGATGAGAGTGACCCATTCTCAGACAGTAATGTCAGCATCTTCGTGATCAATTTAAAAGTTGCATCAACATTCTAGTAACTCTACCATCAGGCCGCTGGGCATGTCTAAACAGGATGGGGATCGCTGTTTCCCCCTCCATCCTCTGCCTTACCCTCCATTCTCCCACCACCTACGTGCTAAAACAGCATGCGCGTCGGTGTCTCCAACTCACCCCCACACCTCAATTATTCATGCTGTGACTCATCTCCCACTCAGTCGCCAGTGCTGTCTCTCGTTCTATCCCACGGAATGAGGCGAAAACGCGCCTGAATTATCATCCATGCTTCTGATCCTGCCACCCACCTGTGGGGAGGAGGATGGGTCTTATCCCTCCCCTCCAGTAGCTCTGGCTCAAAAATCGTACTATTCAGCGGCGTAGACTCAAATGATGACGTATTGTGCATCAACAATCGTTCAGTTCATCCGGTTACTTAGTCTAAAATGGAAATTTTAAGCGTTTGAATCGCCCATAAACGATTCGAAAAACCAAAAGTAATTAACTGGATGAGTGGAGAATCAAGGACCTAAATTTATTCGGTATGGAAGAAGGTGGTTATGGATGAAACTTCTCTTAAATAAAACAAGAGTTATTCAAGCATCTTTTTTTGGGCTAAACTTGGATGCGTAAGTTTTAGAGTATTTTGTTCTGTCGGAATCACTGGGGCCTGGATTTATGACATTTCTGGTGAGCGTTTCAAATACATTTGTTTCGCACAATCAGAAGGGTGTGATAACTTCTGCTAGAATGAAATGGCGAAGAATGGACAATTTGATTTAAATGCTCTCAACTTGCTCGCGTTTGAATGATGTCGGGTTAAACTATATAGTGAATAAACCCACTGTTGATAGAAAAGAGATTAACCTAAATCCCTTTAGCACAATGCCCTGCTGCATCTTGACGCTTAAGTTTTTTTCCCAAATCACGGGATCGTATTAAGGTTCAGGTATTACCTTGTTCCCATGCGATGTAGCAGATACCTGATCCCCTAATACCACTAATCTTGTTTCTCTTGGCTATTCGTGGCAAATGTCACGTCGGAGGATGAAGCACCTCGTGCTTTTATGAAACTGAAGTACTTTAAGTTTTAGAACATTCTCATTACTCAGTCAAAGGGGTTGGAAAAGTGAGTGTTGGTTTATGCTTCCTATACACACCTGGTAAATGTCGGATCGACTTGTCACTACTCGACAAAATGGCAGATCAGCAAGTTTCGGGAAGAACACTTCACCTTCACCGCGAATTACCCTACTTTTGTCTACGCTTGGTCCATTATTTTTCCTAATTTTCAAATGATTTTATCCCTTTTCCCGCACTTCGTGATTGTCAATCAGTCAATTCCGCCAATGGTAGTGTTGGAGGACGAGGCAGGTTACGCTACGACAGTACGACAGAAGGCTCCATCTTCATTGATTCGTTTAAACTGTCCGCGCACAAGATGGCCGCTGCAGTGTTGTGATTTCAACTATCTTGTTTATTCTTCTCGTCACAAAAAGGAAGCTTTAAATGCAACGTGCAAAGTCAACGACACAATATGCGTGTTACATGTGTGTCAAGTGCTGACAGCAAACCACACCTAAAGCGAAAAATGCAACTCCAGCCACGAGCAACGCGAAGCTCGAATCACAGTTTTTTTGCGGTTCCAGTTAACGTGTTCCAGCATCAGTAAGCTTAGGTCAGATTGCTCAGACACAGGGTTCACAAAACACGGAGATAAATCCAAAATCAGTAGCTTGAAGTAGTATTCTTGGGTTATTTTGCTTTCAGCAGGTGGAATTGCGGCTAGCTGAAAGTTTGAGGACCGTGTTTATCGATGCAAAGGCGGTGAAATACGTTTGTTTTGTTATTTTGAACATTTTCTTTGACTTAAAAACAACCAATCCAAAGAAACACTTGGTTCTGTCGGAAGATTGGGTTCTTTTCTGACAGAAAGCCTAATTAGTTTGCCTCTCTATGGTGGAAACTTTGCTAAGATTTTTATCAGTGACTGGTAGGTTGAAAGTGTTTCGCTTTTCCTCTTAAATACGTTTAACAGATTGATGCGTTAGGCCAAGAAGTAAATCAGTTGTTGTGATTTGATAACCAACAAATATGAGTCTATCTAGTAATGTTATTCCGTATGCTTACTGATGCAAGTCCCATAAAATGCCATGAAAACACGTTTTGGTGTAAGGAGGGCATTTCAGAGGAATTTCAGCAAGCAGTTTGAAGTCTTTGACAGCATTGACATTAGTTACCTGGGTCGTAAAGGAATGGTGCCTGTCTTTAACTTAGACCAATCTTTTCGTGACAAATAAACTGGCGCAACTATTTACCATCAACGAATTAATGTCATATCGGATATTTACAAATCTGGTAGCGGACGTGACAAACAATTACCGATACTTTTTGATCCTACTACAATGTGAGTGTACAATTAAAAGGCGTCATTTCTAAAAGTTATTTTGAATTTCGCAAATTGCAATTTCGAAGGATTACGATATCAACATGTGACATCGACCTTCCACGTGGTTCATCACTTGCGTCCCCCTGATTGGTTACAGTTGATGCTCAGTTCTCCCACATTCATGCCCTTCATATATCAATTTGGAACACCTACCACCATAGTGGAATGAACTAAATTAGGAAATTTGATTTGTAAATGAAGCAAGATCCAAATTTGCCACAGAAATAAAACCTTCGATTTTGGCACTTCCAGGTCTGCTGTCAATCCAATCCATGCACACGTGCGCACAGGTAGACACGAAACTTCGGTTACATGCCTCATGATTCTTGAATAAATTATTGCATAAATGGTAATAAGAGTAGATACGAACTGATTTGCATCATTTTCAGCACGCCATCTGCCCAATAAAACACCTGTCCATTGTCATGATCAAATGGCTGAACCTCAAGGTCATTTCTACCATGGCCGAGGTGCTATTGGTTGGCGTGACGGGCGATCAATAAGGCGATTTTTTAAAAATCTGAGGGGAGTGAATGCCCACGATTTCTTTTCGTTGTGAATTCAAAGTGGATTCTTCCATGTGTAAAACTTGCCTGGTGTGGGTTTTTCAAAACCGAAGAACTAGTACCTATTAAATTTCCACTTATTAAGGACCCTCCTACTCAAACCTTATTGAGGTGTTGATAATAAAAGCACAGCAATTCATTTTATTGCAATATGTTCAAAGATTACTTCCACCTGCCCATACCGAAGCGAAGTACTTTGAAGTGCTAATCGTAATACCGTTTTATGGCATTCCTTATTTTGGAAGAGAATCATAAACCAAATGGCATTTATTAAAATAATGTTGTTGCAGGAATAACTGTAATTCCACAGGAAAACACATCATCTGTTGACACCAGTCAGATTTTAATGCACCTATTTTTCTCGTATTTTCGGACGTTAAGGTGAATACTGGATTAAAGGGGGTGAGAACTACCAACGATGAGTTGCCCGCCAGTTGCCTGCTCAGCCATGCTATTTAGTCAAGCATTAATTAACCTTTCTGCTTTTGCAACGATGCAGGAATTAAAGCACTAAGCCGCTTTTACCTTAGAATGCTTGATTCTTACTTCCTTCAGTTTGATTTCAAGTAATTTATCTTTGGCACATGGAGCAGAGTTATTCTGTCGGAAATCATGTCCTTCCTACATATTTTAGGCATGATCGTAATTCATTATTATTCCTTTTTTCACTCTAAGGTCCAAAATCATCCAAGTTTTATCAATTCTTGCTTAGAAATTAACTTTTTTGACCGCATACAGTATTGAAGCATACCTTTCTTAACTTGAGTGAATCAAAGCGGACGAAAATTTGCTCGACGAAACAAATAACCACTTCTACTTGCTGTTGCGGTTCTTTCAAAAATCGCATAGCAAAACAGTGAACAGGTGACTCAGGAAAGTGTGTTTGATCACTTAAAGCAAGGTTTTGATAATCCCGAGTCACGTGATTGGCCACAGACATCAAAACGTCTCCAGATTTTTGGAAGACAGCTACATCCGCACAGATTGTTCTGAAGCTGCAAGGAGCTCGGACGACGAAACTAATCGACGAGCAAGCCTGAAATGCAATCCTGTGAAGTGGTCTGACCTATTTTCGAGAGAACAGACTGGGGTCTTCGACCTTGGACGTTTTCAAGATCAAAAGCGCATCACATGCACGCCTACCTGCTTACCAGCCTGGCGCTTTGTCAGCATTTGCGAACTCTAACAGAGTGCTCTGAACTAGGTTGAGCAAGGCTACCAATCGATCAATCAATCAATCGCCTCCTGTACTCATAAGATGGCCTTACAGATGGCTGAATTCAAAGTTAAGTGATAAGACATCGATGGGTCCCTCACGCTCCCAGTTTTGTGTCACGTAATTTCTGAACTGCTTCAACTAATTGACGTCAAAATGTTCTATTTGCTGCATCCTGTCTGCATATGAGTGAGTCACTCATAAGCGTGTTCTGAAGGCCATTTATAGCACTGAGGTCACACGTTACTTTAGCTGGGTGCTTATCGATATGGTATTTTGAAGGTTCTAACTGTCCCAAAAAGAAACACCAAATAAGCAGTTCAGGAGCCAAAAGGCTCCACAATTAAGTGACTCAGCAGTTGGAGGGGATGGCTGTTCCCTTGAAAAGTTTTAATCAAAGTGACTCAGTCTCGTGAGCAAAATGTAGACCTATATTGTGTAGCCTACGTGGTTTATGGAATCCCTGTGACCGTGCCTATCCCCTTTTCCTCGAAGTGATTTTTTTGCTGTTTGAAATGGGACAGAAGAAGAGGAATTAAATTAGGCGGTAGCGAACTGCGCAAAATCATTTGGGCTAGAAGAAAGGTGATCGATAAACGCGTAAGAAGAACAGCTGACTGGTAATGGGATCGATAAATGCGGTTAGACGGAAAAATCGATAAGACCTAGAGCGACCATTTTGACGCGACGAGCCAATGGAAACGTGTCCCCTGGACACAAAATTACAACCAACAAATTGATTCAACTAGTCCAGTTTAAAAAATATTTTTATTATCATTCATATTCATTTCCGGTGAAACGGCACATCATGCGTAATTGTGACTGATCAATTTTCCAAAAACAATTTTCTTTATTGAGTCAGAAGACGATAGATGACTACCCATAAGCATGTGGCTCATGTGCCTATAGCGATTTTTTCTGCCCATTAAAAGTAGCATTCCTAATAAAAAAGGACCAAACAATTTACAGATACCTAAGTAGTGAAACCGGTTTAGTACATTTCTGAATTGGAATATGAATAGTGCACGCAGGTAGAGGTAAACATCTCTCTCTCTCTCGCGTTTATAACAGCAATAATGTCATAATATACAGGACCTGGTTATGTACACTAGAAAGACTAGGTCAGAAGGAGAGAAGAGAGGTGGAACTGGACAGGAAAAGTTGATTCATACTATCAACGTCTAGAACCCGTTGATAAATCAATTGGCTGCATCTCGTCCATGATCGCACTGCCTGGAGGCATAGCAAGTAGTTGGGGCGGAGGGGGGAGGTGTTGCAGATGAGTGGATGGAGGAGGCACAAAAGGGTTCGGATACATTCCCCCCGTCGACGGCACACTCAAAAGAGGTGGTGGATTCAAAAGTTCTGTTTGGGGGAACAGACCAATTGCCTTAAAGTACGTCTCCCAAGAAGATGCCATCGGAGGCAGGGTTGGAAGTTGGAGTAGAGGTGGAGGAGGGGGTGGCTTAGCTGGTTCTGGTTGTGGCGGTGGTGGTGGTGGTGGGGATACCTGAGTTGGTTCCGTCACAGCTTTTGGTGGTGGGGACGGAGGAGGGGGGGAATCATCGCCGTGGAAGGCATAGACGCTGTCATCAATGCTCCTGCTTGGTGGAGGGACTGTGTCGGCAAGAACACACACCCTCACCGGGTTGGAAGACTTTCTTGATGAGGCGTTTCGGCGACCAATCTTCTTTGGCGTGGTCTTCGGAGACGAACCAGAAGGTGGGGAAGGAGGAGGAGGAGGGAGGGGGGGGAGAAGATAGGGGAGAAGAAGAAGGAGAGGGATGAGGAGGAGACGGAGTAGAAGGAGGTAGCAGCGGAAGGGACGATTCTAACGTCTTACGGACTTTAGGAGCTTCCTCCACAACATCGATCATCTGTGGTTCGCTGTTTTCATCCACTGGTACCTCAGCGGATGGTTTGGAAGTTGGGGGCTTGGAAACCATTGATTCTAGCTCCTCTACAATTGGACGAGGAGCCAATGGAGGTCTTGAGTTTGCAACTACCTGAGAGGTAGGAATTCCAAAAAAGTTTTTTGATGTGGAACACTCCTTAATGGTTACCGTTAGCCCTCCAACTGTTACATCGGTGATTGAAATGTCCCTTTCTAGCGACGGTGGGGGAGGTGACACAAGGGTAGAGGCAGAAGACGCAGGATACGATGCAACTGACAGTGGGGTAGCTAAAAAGGCCGCTGAAGTTCCATTTCGAGACAGGTGAATGCGAAGGGGAGCCAATCGTCGCGGACTACTGTCGCTTCCAGGAGAGGAAGACGAGGAAGAACGGCATTCCTCATTATGCCTCTTCTTCCTCCCTTTACCCTTCCTATTCACCACTGAACTCTTATCACAGTTCCCAATAAACCGCTTTGATTGAAGCTTTAAGTCTATAGGAGGATGCATTAATGAATCTGAGGAGAATGCTTTGATTGTAGGAACGTCTAATTGCTTCGGAATGACAACAAATTCTGGCTCATTTGTTGAAAGCCTTTCTCGACGTGGAAGTTCAATTTCTTCGATAACGGAATCGCCGCTAGATGAGGGGCTTTCATCACTCTCATCATCATCGTCTTCCTCCTCCTCATCGTCTTCCTCGTCTTCACCAGTTGAATGCATGGAAAGAATACGTTCGCGCGGAATTTTTAGTCGAATCCGAGGTTGTTCAACCGGTTTTGGCTACAAATAAAACAGGTCTTACTAAGAACCTTACCACCAAATAGTGTGAGTAGGCTTTAGAAGCTAGGAGTAAACCTTACTGGAAACTGAGGAGACATGCTCCTTCGACTCCCATGTTCAGACGATGGAGCCTTTGCAGCCATTCTCGTGTTCGCAGCCGAAGCAGAAGCTGCTGTGACCAATAGAGTTGTTGGCCTTAACCGGCTATCCATCCGCCATTCGCAGGTGTCGTTGTTGGTATTGCTGGTGTTAGCATTATCAAAAGTGGAATTACGAGGAGATCCAACAGAAGAGGTGGTAGCAGCATCAACAGAACTGGATCCAGAATGAGCCGCTGGAAGGGAATTCTTTGTCACCGAGACGTTAATTGTCAGGGGTTCATTTAAGCTAGCATTATCTGGTGCAGTTCCCCCGGCAGCTTTGGCCTTTTTACTCTCTGTGGATGGACTCTGAGGTCTACTACTTGCAGTTGTATTCGCTTTCCGTTTCCTAGCCTCTGCTCTCTGATAATTTTCAATGAGTGATTTGTCCAGAATATTTTTCTCCGGCTCCCAGGTGTTATGTCTTAAGGAAAAGGGATAAAAACCCCGTTCAATTTCACGCAATAACGAAAATTGCGCTTGAAAAATCGCACATTTTAATTGATCTTGAAATAGGATTTTAATGGGGAAAAAAAACAGGATGAGTCAATTAATTTTCTTTCAGAAATTTTATTGCCCCTTAGTAGATTTACTTTTGCGTGCCATTGGAGGCTTAAATTAGGTGTACTCGCCTTCATTATTAGTAGGTTTTAAAGACCCTACCCCTGAAAGCAAGGCATGAGAGCGAAACCTAGACCGCTGCATAACTCTACGCCTATGCTAAGCTGGTTAGTGTGTGCACGCACACGTGCTAGCGCAGCACGCACGTCCGCATTCTCTCTCTCGTGCTAACACACACGCCTGCTTGCAAAACTAAAATGCGCGGGGCGTACACACACGCACGCGCAAGGACAGATCAATGAGATTGCAGCCAATTAAAAGACCACATCGATCGTCAGCAAACACGGCTGTCTTAACGCTAGCGTGCGTACGTATGTGCATGCACAGGGCGTACGCACGCACGCGCACGCTTCTAATGCATGCTTGCAGGCCTTACGCGAAAACGAGAGAATTTCGCGAGCCTTCTCTCTATCACTCCACAAATGTACGTTTATTTAGGGTAAAAAATACTCACTTGTCATTCCAATTCTTCCATTTGACGAGGTATTCTACTTTGTTCTAAAAAAGAAGTGATAAAATTCCATTTCAAAAAGAGTTAAAAAACGCAAAGTTAGCCTGAGGTACAAGCTTTAATTATATAACCAAAGTGTGCTATTAAATCAGCTAACTCTACACGATAATATACCTGAAATTAAAACACAATTACGTCTCTCACATTAAAACTCACCATTCTAACCCGTCGATCGAGCAATTTTTCGACAGTGTAGATACCTGAATTGCGACTTCTACTGCGATTCATTGTGCAACGTGGGGGGAATTATTGCATCGAGGAGGAACTTTGATCCAATAGGAGAAGTTATCCTACTTTAATTTTGGTGTAGTTCGACTGCAAAAGATATAAGATCCAAAGTGCCTTGGTAGAGTACAATAAAGGTGATAGCGATCACGAGCAGAAAGCGTTGCAAAGGTAGAAAAGTATACGTGCGTGTGTGCTGAGCAGGACTGTATTCAAGTCTGCACGAATATGACGACAGACTGCCACCCCGTTTCTTTCATACAGTCATAGCACTAGCCGCTCATTGGTGGAGGACGAGGTAACCAATGGATGCCATGTCCGTCGACGGGCTTTTCCGGTGTACGCCAATCATACGTCAATTGTGAAAATGAGCGCGAAAACTGGAAGCAATAACCAATGCGTGGTTTACTGTGCACTGATTGGCCCGAGGCAACGATTGGTTGCGAGCCTATGCACCAACTAGGGAAGTGGGTTGATACAATTAACTTGGCAACTGGAGGATCCCTTCATGTTTGTGCGAGTGTATGCGTGCATGGATGAGTTCAGTGAGAATGGCAGCCGGATAAAAATCCGCTGGGGCATAAGCCCACTTTGCTGTTGATAGACAAGCTGAGAAATTCTTGTGTTTAGCAATTAGCAATATCCGAATGCATAGTCAAAATATCAGATGTAAAGGACTAGTTTATGTGAAGATTATCTGAGAAAATATACAGGGGTAAATAATTAACAATGATTAATACGAAATTTAGACTCAATGTATAAGAGACTTTTACCTCAATAAACAATTATTAATAAAAAAATCTAATCGTTCTGCTAACAGTCCATTATTCAACAAATAATAGCCTCCTTATGGCCTGCATATGACGGCCTATTGAATCCAGGATATAAGAATTTATGGGAATTGACTGCAACTTCAGATCTATTATAAGGGTGCATACTAGAGTACTGGTCATATTATATGCCGAGGGTGAGGTCCTGCCACCTGCACCCACCGGAAGTAGTCTAACTCCGAGGGGATAGAAACAGGAACAACGTGAGAGATCGGGAGGGGGGCTGAGGAGATAGATTATGGTGCGGCAGTCATTCATTAATGATGATGTTAAAGTTGATTCGCATATTGGTGTTTCAAGTAAACGCTCTGACTTAGCCCAGAACTACTGTGGCTAAAATATAGACCTGTGGCTTGGCTTCTTTTCCTTGCATGGATGAAATATTAGTTCAGTAACAGCAAAAGTCACCCTAACAGTTGAGTCTACTAGATTTCAACACACTTTGAGGTCAAACTGCAACATCTAATTGTAAAGAAGGGAATACAAGCAGGATTAAACGTTGCTAAGCAATCTTCACTGCAATACCTATCCAATAATGCCGAAATTAAGACGAGGTGGAAATGCAGAATATAACTGTCCTCTTACTGGAATTTATCAAAAAACCAGGCCAATGGGTTACCACACCAGGTATCCCAGCATTGGCAGTAATTTTTGCCGAATATGTGTTAAATACACAAAATTGGTACATCGCTAATAAGGCGGCCGACAAACACGATCGATAGCGCCGGTGGAGCGCGGAGGTAACTTCCTGAGTCACAAATATTAGACCTTTTCTACCATACCTGTCAATGCGGTAGGGCCTGTATTTTAACACAAGTGATAATCATAATAGACCAAGATGTTGTTTAATCTAGAGTCTGTCAACTAAATAAAACAGCCAGAATTGCAATGTATTTTTCTTCACTGTTACTCCTTTTTAGAAGGTTGGGTGTAATCTAAATTAAATTAGCCTGTTCTATGAATAGACTTCAATTTTCTCTCAAATAAGTGTTTCGTATCCAAAACAAAGTGCAAAAAAGCACTTGAGTAAGTTAAGCAACTTAAGTCTTTTCTAGCAGGTTACTAAAAAAAAGCTCCAAACTGCTGCAGTAAAATATACAAGTATGCTCGTCTCTAGGGTAGCCAACAGCAGCCATATACATATGAAAACCATTCGTTAGATCAATAAATTATTTGGGATAAAGAGTGAAAATGTTGTTCTTTCTTCTGTCATTGAGGCTGGAATGAATGCTAGTCTAGAAGAAGGCGTATATTTTATTCGCCGGATCCTATATAAGATCAACTGGAGTCAAACTAAGAGGTCGTGGGATGTGGTGATTAAATTATTGCTCTAAGTAATTTATTAAAGAATAGAAAAAAGGGGAAAATGATTATCCTCAACACTGAAAACATAAGTAAAATTAAGAATATAGTTAATCAATAAGATGATCTGTAAATCGTATTTTTAGCATTAAGCTAACCAAACTTTAAGCTGCGGAGCCTTAGATCCTAGAAACGGTTATTTATCAAATTTCACAAATTAGTGAAAGTGAATGACGAATAAATATAATCGGAAATAAACTGCAGTTAACACTGATAATTTACGAGATGATAAGTGAATTTAGGTACAATTAAGTGACAAATTCCTGAGTGCCATGGCCACCCTTCACTAGGTGAGATAGAGATTCACAGACTAGGCTAATCGTTTACTTTTGAGATGTATTTATTTGCTTTTTTAAAACCCACAACTTACTCAAGCAAAATCTATCGATGCACTCCCACCCTCTGTTTGAACAGAGGCCAATTATGCTGACGAATGATACGTAGCATAACCTACACATTGCTGTCTATTGCATAACACGGGCTGCCACCCAATTGCGTTGTTAGGCTTGAGTACCATGTAGATGATGGATGAATCAGAGAGGGATGAAACAATATTCTATGACGATAATCGTCATATGTTACACAAGCCACTTTGTACTCTTCGGTGGATATAGTTAAGTGAGTAGAGAGGCAGATAGATGGAGAGACGGATACATATATAGATGGATTATGATCCAATATAGTAGATTACTTGCACTGTTACCCAGCTGTACGACAAAAAACGACAATTCAACCTCGAAGACATAAATAGGGCAACGACCACCACCACTACCACCAATGCCTCCACCCTCCCCTGACCTTCCTCTAACCCATTCCCATATTTGATGGTTGCTAAGCTACCGATACACACAACACCTGATTTTTTAACACACTGATGTCTATTTTCTTGCCTAGAAGACAGGAATTAGTAGTTAGGCCTGAAGACACCAACACCTTGATGCATGCGTAAAATCTGTTAAACTCCGCCTATCCGTGAACATTACATAACCTAGTCATCGTAACATGCGTATGCATACGATGGGTAGCACTTAGAATTCACGCCAAATGGTACCACAAAATTACTGTTTACTCTCACCCATAAAGCGAAGGCATTTTTCCTCCTCTGGTAAACTTGCACTAGTCTCTATAGGGAAAATTTTAATGTTGCAGCTAAAAGAAAGACGTAAGAATGTCTTGGTCACCAGCTTACGATATGGTCAAATTATCGCAAAGGAATACCTATTTTCACATGCATTTGATTGGAATTTCGGAAGGTGAAGCCTTCAACACAGCCCAATCCAATTTTGCCTCT